GGCTGGAACCACTTGATGAAGGGAGACTGTAAGAGGAGAGACAGGGGTGGCAGTCAGAGCGTGTAGAGTAACGAAGACCATTGTAATGACTGAGGTCTTACTTGGACTGAAGTCCAAGCAGCTAGAAACATGGTTACCAGGGTGGGAAAGCTTGTGATGAGAAATCAATATTCCTTATAAGTTTGAAATGCCAAAGGTTAGGATGAGTGGACAGTTGGATACATGCATGGGATTCAAAGAAAGGACCAGCTTAGGGATCTCAGTTGAGAATCACCAAGATATAGATGGGATCGTATAGGTGAAGAGAATGGGTTATCTAAGAAATCACTTTAGCCATCTCTTTATTTACTATCATGTCTGCCACTATTCTATGCCAGGTATTATTCTAAGTGCTTGATAGCTGCTAATGCATTTAATCTTTTTAAAAACCCTATGAGGGTAATTTCACAAGCTCTATTATCCCCATTTTACTGATGTGGAAACAGAGGTACAGAAACTAGAGATGCTAAATTCTCACTGCAGTTGTTACAGAGATGCCCCATAATTTCTGCTCATCAGTACTTTGAGAATATAGTGGTTCCCAGACCCACTGCTAGATCTTGCAATTTAATGGACTTGTGAAGCATTACATGGAGTCCTGGTGTGGCACAGTAGGTTAATTCACTGAACTGCAAAGTCATTTTGATCTGCAAGGTTGGTAGTTCAAGCTCACCAGCTGCTCCTCGGAAACCCTATACAGGGTTGCTATGGGTTGGAACCGATTCGATGGCACTTAACAACAACAACAGCAATAACAACAAAGCATTGCATGGATTCCTGATGTGTTGATGTAGAATAAAGCACTGAACCATAAGGTTGGAAGTTCAAACTCACCAGCTGCATCTCAGAAACCCTATACAGGGTCACTATGAGTCAGAAATGACTCGATGGCACTTTAACAACAAAGTATTACATATTCTATGAAAACCACACATTTTTAATATGATGATCACTGTATTTCAGTATAATTGCTTTTTTTTTTTTTTTTTTACATAATCCTATATATTTTTATTTCATGCATTTAAGATATTCTGAGACAGACACAAGAGGTTACAGATCTCAAACTCATCTCAGTTTTGACCATGATGCCACCACAGGTAGGGAGATCCTTACCCTAGGACCTCAGTTTAATACCTAATACGGTTTTCAACAAACTTAAGGAGCCATTGACATTTCACAGTGATTATGGATGGGATTTCACAAGCTAAGTGAAGAGGACTTAAAATACTCACTGATGAAGAGCACAGAACATAACTTCAGCACGGATTGAACTTCAACATAAAGAAAAAAAAATCCTCATCACTGGGCCAATAAACACTATCATAATGGAGAAAAGATTGAAGTTGTCAAAGACTCCATTTTACTTAGATGGAAACAGCAGTTAGGAAATCAAACGATGCTTTGAATTTGGAAAATCTGCTGCACAAGACCTCTTTAAAGGGTTCAAAAGCAAAGATGTTAGCTTAAGCACTATGGTGCGCCTGACCAAAGCTATGGTATATTCAACAGCCTCAGATGTATGTGAAAGTTGGACAATGAATAAGGAAGACTGTACAAGTATTGTTGTATTCTTTCACCATACTTATTCAACCTGTATGCTGAGCAAATAATCTGAGAAGCTAGGTTAGATGAAGAAAAATGTGGCATCAGGATTGGGGGAAGACTCATTAATAACCTACGATATGCAGATGATACAACCTTGCTTGCTGAAAGCAAAGAGAACTTAAAATACTTACTGATGAAGATTCAGTATGGGTTGCACCTCAATGTAAAGAAAGCAAAAATCCTCACCACTGGACCAATAAAAAACATTCTTATCAACGGAGAAAAGACTGAAGTTGTCAAGGACTTCATTCTTCTTGGATCAACTATCAACACTTAAGGAAGTAGCAGTCAAGAAGTCAAACGATGTATCGCATTAGGCAAATCTACTGCACAAGACCTTTTAAAAGTGTTGAAGAGCAAGGATGTCAGCTTGAGGACTAAGGTGCGCCTGACCCAAGCCATGGTATTTTCAATAACCTCATATGCAAGCGAAAGCTGGACAGTGAATAAGGAATACCATAGTAGAATTGATACTTTTGAGTTATGGTGTTGGAGGAGAATACTGAAATGGGCAGCCCATAGAACCAACAGTTCTGTGTTGTAAGAAGTGCAGCCAGAGTGCTCCTTGGAGACCAAGATGGCCAAACTTGGTCTCTCATACTTTGGACATATTGTCAGGAGGGACCAGTCACTGGAGAAGGATATCATGTTTGGTAAGGTGGAAATTCAGAGAAAAAAAGAGGAAAACCCCCAGCGAGATGGACTGGCAAAGTGGCAGCATCAGTGGGCTCAAGTGTGGCAACTATAGTGAGGTTGGCCCAGGATCAGGCAGTGTTCTGTTCTGCTGTGCATAAGGTCGCTATGAGTCGGTACTGACTCAATGGCACCCAACAAAAACAACAACAGAAGAATTGATGCATTTAAGTTATGGTGTTAGAAAAGAATATTATAAGTACCATGGACCGCTAGAAGAACAAACCAATCTGTGTTGGAAGAAGTGCAACCAAATTGCTCCTTAGAAGGCAGGATGATGAGATGAAGCCTTTCATACATCAGCCAGGACCAGAAGGGACCAGTCCCTGAAGAAGAACATCATGCTAGTAAAAGTGGAGGGTAGTGAAAAAGAGGAAGAGCCTCAGTGAGATGGATATTGGCACAGTGTCAGCATCAATGGACTCAGTCTTACCAAATATTGTGAGGCTGGCGCAGGACTGAGCAAGGTTCTGTTTTGTTGTGCGTAAGGTTGCTATAAGTCAGAGCTACCTTGACGGCATCTAACAACAACAACATGGATGGGGTTAGTAGGCAATGCCATAGCACACACTCATGGGAGGATGAACCACAAGGACAGTGATTTTGATGTAGCTGTGCACCAGGTCCTGGGGGTTGTTTGGTACTTCTTTCTTACGGCTGCACTTAAACCAATTCTGCCATAGCCACTCCACCCTTCTTTCCTTTTCTTCCCACTTTTGCACTGTTCTCTGCCAGGGTGAACTGCCATTTGCCTTGTGGTCACAGCTGGGCTGTGCCTTAGTTTTAAAATCTATACATTGTTCTCTTTTTCTTACCCCTCTATTACCTGGCCCTCCTGGCATCTCCACAGGGGCAAAAAATGGAGAAATTAAACCAAAGTCACCGTTCCAAGGTTCTAGAAATTCAGCAAGGTCTCTACCACAGAAGCTAAAACTTCATTATACTTATCACAAAGCATCTTTTAATTTTTCTTTTCCATGAATAAAAGCTAAATAAAACACCTCTTAAAAGTTATAAATTCAGTGTTAACCATATTAGCATTTAAGAACAAGTGAGACTAATCTGTAAAAGAAAAGTTACTGTGGAGTGTTTGGTCATTCTTAAATTTGAAGGGGGAAAAAAACCTTAAAGAAGATGTTAAAGATAAAATGAAAACCGAGCTCTTCTAATACTTTCTGAAATCATGACTATCAAATCTTGACTTCTTCCCTCCAACCCTGGAATCCTCTGTGCCTTATACACAGGGGAAGGATTACTGGTCCTTGTGTCTGCCATCTGCAAAATTTGGGGTCTAGCTTGAAAGGCTAATGTGTTCCCTGGATGTGGAAGAAATCAGTGCACCAATAGCTGTCTCAACTCCAATTTAATGTTGCTCAACAATGCAAAGAGTGAAGAGAAATCCCCTGGCTAAAGATCCTGTAATTTGGAACTCCCCTGAATGTGAGGCTAGAAATCGCTAATAACAAACTCTGGTGAATTTGCTAATTTATGGAAAATATTAATTGAAACACTTCAGAGTGAAGTCAAGACAGTCATCAAAAGCCTGGGGGTTGCAAAGAGCTTGGTCCACTCCTGTCATTTTGCAGAATATGAAAGGAAATAGAAGGTACATATAATTCATTGCTACGGGGAACTATAGTTAGGGTATTAAAGTACCACCTTCCAACTAACAAGCTTCAACCTGGAACTGTAGTCTCTCCCCTTGGTCTCCCTCCAGAAACAAGTCAGACTGGTTTGAAACTTGCCTGGAAAACCAGAACCACCTGGTTCACCCTGGCAGGGCCCCTCCTGCCTGCCATGAGACTTGTAAGCACAACCCAGCCATAAATCTCAATCTCATACTGCACTAGGCAACCTTAACCCCCTTCCTTGGGAAAAGATGGGAAGCAGATAATGAATCTGATCCCCAAGGCACATTTCCAGGTCTTTTTCTAGTGATTCGATTCTGTTATCGTTGCAAGCAAGGCACCCAAGAATTGGAAAATGTTTTGGCTGTGGTGTCCTCCAAGCTCCACAGGTTCACCTTGACCTTTGCATCTCTACTCTTCAGAATTCGGGCAGCCCAATCAACAAGCCAGTCCTTTACTACCCCTGTAACAACTGCAGATAATATGCACCATATGCACAGTTCTTCTGCTTAATTACCACTGCATACTGCTACCCCTTCGTAATCATTTATAACCACATCCAATATCCAATAGCTGCAATCATTAATGAATATAGTTACTGGTAATAGTTACTGTGGAATTGGTTTCTGACCTGAGAACGCAAAATGAATCCATCCTCTTTAGCGCTCCCCTTTATAAAACCTTCTGGAGACTGACACCAGCTACACTGAATTCTATTTTGCACACGGAGGATCACGCTGCATTATTTTTTCCATCGTTGTGAGTAGATTGGATATGGCATATAAAACTTTAGGTTTCCGGGTTCTGGTGCCAGAAGAATTGAGAGGGTATAAAGTTCAAGTGCCTTCAAAGTAATTCAAATAACAATCAGAAGACTGGCTCCTAGGCCACTCCCACCTCCTACAGCGATCTCATCAGCAGCCAACATACTTCTGGTTCCCAAACTTCTGAGAGGGACAGAAATATCAGCTCCAATTGCTAACTGGGTTCCCTCAGCCCCCTCGCACGCCTAGCGCCTCATCGGTCTTTGGTCACCTGTAGGTTTCAGCGGTTTCCAGTCCATTTTCCAGGCTGGCATCTGTCTGTACCATCTCCTGTTTCAGTTCTCCGATCTCCGAGGCAATTGTGTCAACGAGCTATTCAAAGACAAAAATAGTATGACATCAGGAAGTAGAAGAGGCGTGGACACAGCCTAGGGAGCTTTAGTCACCAGAGAGATGACCACCTTTTAAAAAAAATCACGGCTCTGTGAATTTCCTCTGTTGTTGTTAAGTGTTAGAGAGTTGGTTTCAACTCATAAGGACCCTGTAAAGGGTTTCTGAGAGCGGCTGGTGAGCTTGAGCCGCTGAACTTGTGGTTCAAACAGACCTTGCAGTCCAGTGCATTATCCTGCAGAGCGCCTGCCACACCAGGACTCCTGAATTTGCTCTAGTGGAAGAAAAAAAAAGGGCGAGGGGGCAGCTTCTCCTTAAAAAGGGGAAGAACTTAAGTTTCGATATTGTCCTATTGGAGGATAGAGGGGGTGGGGAGATGGCACAGTTTGGCTTCTCACCATAAATACAAAGAGGAATAAACAAATCCTGGTAAACCATGTCTCAAAATTCATTTTGTCAAGGGAAAAATTCAAAAGGAATTTCCTGGATTAAAATGTGTACACCATTATTCTGATTACAAAATAAAAATATTTAAAAGATGCATTTTATAAATTTGATTTATAAAGACATTAAATGTATATTCCCACCCTATCTTTGATTTAAAAAAAAAAAGTTTTGTTTTTTCTTAAAGTGAGAAGACTATTGTTAAATTCTGTCAAGTAGGTTCTGACTCACAGTGCCCTGTATAGGGTTTCCAAGGAGCAGCTGGTCAGTTTGAACTGCAGACCTGGTGGTTCAAACAAACCTTATAGTGCAGTGCTTATCCTATAGTGTCACACCAGGACTCCTATGAGGGGAAACGAAACAGAAAGGGAAGAGTGGGGTTAGAAATGGGTGGGGTAGTAAGAGTCTCTTCTTGGAAAGACTACAGGGAATCCCTTTGGTGATACAGTTAACCAACTGAGCTGTTAACCAAAAGTTTGGAGATTATAGAGTTCACCTTAGAAGAAAGGTCTGATGATCTAAATCCAGAAACATCAGCTATTGAAAATCCTGTTGTTGTTAGTGCCATCAAGGGTTAGGACTCATAGTGACCCTGTATAGGGTTTCTGAGGAGCAGCTAGTGGGCTTGAACCAATGATCTTGTGGTTCAAAGTGACCTTGAGGACCAGTGCATTATACTACAAGCTTATTATTGCTCTAAAATAAATTAATAAACATTTTCAAAATATCATTTTGATTTCTAACATATTCAGTATCTATATCTATAGCCCACATGGACACAGGCTCTTTGAGGTCTTCAATGACTTTTAGAGACTGTAAAGGGATTCCTGAGACACAAAAGTTAAGAATTATTCTTCTAATTAAAGACTAGTGTTGTCTCATCCTAAGAAGATGTCTCCCAGCTAGACTCTGGGAGAACCTTCATTTGAGCATGCAGTCTGTTCTAAAATTTTGGTGGTGCTGTGGGTTAATGCGTTGGACTGGTTGGTAGTTCAAGCTTACCAGCCACTCCTTGGAAACCTTTTACAGGGTTGTTGTGGGTTGGAACCGACTAGACAGTATTTAACAACAACAACATTCATTTGTTGGACTTCTGGTTCAGTGCTGTAGGATAAGCGTAGGATTGCAACGTCAGTTTGAACCACAAGGTCAGCAGATTAAATTCACCAGTCGCTCCTCGGAAACCCTATACTGGGTCGTTATGAGTTGGAACTGACTCCAAGGCACTTAACAACAACATTCATTTGTTGGAGTCGTGATGTGATGCTGTAGGATAAGCATTGTATTGCTAATCACAAAGTTAGTGGTTCAAATCCACCAGCCACTCATTGGAAATCCTATACAGGATCACTATGAGTCAGAACCAACTCCATGGCACTTAACAACAATTCATTTGCTAATTCAACAAATCTTTACGGGTACTTTCCTCATGTCAGACTGATAAAATCTCCATTGTCATAGATGAAGATAGAATGTTGTCCCTGTCCTTGGGTACCTTGACATCCCAATTTCAATTCACAGGGACTCCAAGTGACAGAGTTGAACTGCCCTACAACATTTCTTTCCGGGTGTTTCTTTATAAGTCTTTCTCCCACAGAGTAGCTGGATGGGTTTGAACTGCCAACCTCTTGGTTAGTAGTAGCTGAGTGGTGAGCCACTGCACCAGCAGACTCCTAGAAAATAGAGTAGTGTTTTGTTAAGAGGAATAATAATAACTAAGGAGCCACTCTAGGATGGGCTGGTTGAGACAGGTTTCTGAGGAAGTGACATCCTTGAATAGGAAGATCTCAGCCAGGACAAGATGAATGGAAGAGACTTCTCTAAAGGACTCTACAGGAAGGAAGAGTATAAAGTTCCAGAGGTTGGCTAGGCATGTGATCTGATCTCATAGGTCTTTCAGATAACAGTCTTAATGAAGTTGGATGGTCTACAATAAGAATTAATGGAGGGCTTTAAGCAATGTAATGACATTTTCTTTCTGTTTGGTGTTCTAAAAAGCTCTCCCTGCCTTCTGGGTAGAGATGATTTTTATAAGGGCAAAAATAGAAGTTGAGACACCAGCTAGGAGGCAAGGGCAGTGGTCCAAGCAAGAAATGATAATGTTTTGGACCAAGGTGGTAGTAGAAAAAAAAGAAAGGGACAAATCTAGGAACAATTTTTTACGTAAACGTTCATGGATTAAATGTGAGGATGTTGGGAGAGAAGAGTCAAGGATGATGTCCAAGATTTTGGACTGAACAACTAACTGGATAGTTGGCAAGCTCTTGACTGAGATGAGGAGGCACAACAAGAAAGGGTTAGGTAGAATTCACAGGGGAAGTTGAGTTAGATTTTGGACAGGTTACGTTTGAGTTGAGCCACCTATTTATTGACCCTCACAATACATTTGTTGAGTAACTTTAGCAGTCAGACTGGAGATATTTACATATTCGAAAGTCACTGGCATATATGGTTGGCATTCTAAGCTCTATGACAGACATTACTTATTGACAAGGGGCCCCCAACACATGAACCTGGGCACTCCCAACAATTAGAGACCAGAAGAAAGCCAACCAAGCACACCATGCTTGACCTGTCCCCTTCTGTGTGTAACTGAGGTAAGGTATCCAGAAGCACTGGGACCTAGGGAGGTAAAATGATCTGGTGATCGCATTTTACACACAGCTCAATAAAAAAGACAAATATTCAAGGATGAAGAGAAACAGGAACTCCCATGCTTCTTTGTTAAGTGACGTTAAGTTGGTTTCCAAGGAGCAGCTGGTGGGTTTGAATCACTGACCTGGTGGTTAGCAGTGTAGTGTTTCTGGAGGAATATTATTCATAGAACCACCCTGGAGAGAAATTTCACAATATTGTTTAAAGTTGAAGATACACAGATACAATGAATTGCCCTTCTACATAGAGTGGTTCAAACCCACCAGCTGCTCCTTGGAACCTTATACAGAATCGTTATTAGCCGGAACCAACTCTATGGCACTTTACAACAACAATATGTGTTCTAAAAATCTTAAACAGGGGCACCAGGAGATATTCATAAGAATATTTGTAGCATCATTATTATAGGTTGTTGTTGTTGTTAAGTGCCGTCAAGTCAGTTCCGACCCACAGCGACCCTGTACAGGGTTTCTGAGGCTGTAAATTTTTATGGGAGCAGAAAGCTCCTCCCGTGGAACTGCTGGTAGTTTCGAACTGCTGACCGTGAGGTTAGCAGCCCAATTCATAACCACTATGCTACCAGAGCTCCTTATTATTAAAGGTAAGAGCACCAAATTATCAGAAACCAGAATGTCCATCAAAGGAGAATGGAAACATAGAAGTCTAGAATACTGTTTTATTTGTTTTTGTTTTTTTTTAATTTAAGGTTCTTATTGTGGATTGAGTGAAAGTTTACAGGGCACATCATCAGTTTTACATTCAACAAATCATACACCGTGTTTCATTACAATGATTATAATTCCCTCCATGTACCATCAGTTAACAGTATTTCTTTCTATCCATTTTAGTTTTTAAAAAACAAACAAATAAACAAACAAACAAACAAACAAACACCACTCAGGCATATATAATAGTTTACATCTCCAAAGGGCACATTCTTCAAGTCTGCTCCTGGCCACCAGCTCTTAGTCCCTCTCTTCCCATAAATCTAGAGTCCTCAGCCGTTCCCCTTCTCCACCTCCATCTCTGGCGCTGCTTATTCTCTGGATAAGGTCCCGCATTCTGCTTGTGCCCTTCTCTCTTGGTGGTCCTAGGGTCCTGTGCTTCCAGACTGCAAGATTAACTACTCCCCTTTTTTTGTTACAAAACTTCTACCTTTACAATTGTGACAGTCATAATTAGTCATGATGACAATTAATCACTATTGAATCATACGAATCTTATCCCTATCTCTTTT